TGGATGAAATTAAAGCACCGGGGTGGGGGGGGGGGGGTGGAAATAAAACATAAGTATTAACCAGTTTCTCACGATCTTCTATAGACTGCAGATACTGCTCTTTGCCCTGATTCGATTCATCTCTCTTCTTCAGGTAAGGCTCAATGACTTTGTACTGAGCGTAGAAGTTACTCATGTCCTGAGTTTAAACAAACAAAAAGACAAAAAATATTTTACTGACTATTTACTAGGGTTTGTACTAGCAAGAGATCAGACGTTCTGCACACACATTCAGGCAGAAAGTGTTGCATTTGCCCCTTTAACCTCCCACTTCCTATTTAACAGTAACAGGTGTAACCATTGGCTATGAAGCTACAGGAATAAGGAATCAGTTCTCCAGTTCTCATTGTTCTGTCACACAAGTTTTTAGAAAGACATTACATAAAGGTATGAATTTTGGAATGATCTCTCAGCTGGGTGTGGCGCCGTCCCTGAAAACCAAGGTATAGTCTGAAACACTGTCATCCTTAGTCCCACAAACCACAACAGAGACAGAAACTCACCGGAACGAGATCCTTTACCACATACATGTGGGGGAGAGGGTAGATTTTGGAGACCTTGCTAAGGTTGGTGTCAATTCTTTTGGTACAGGCCAGGGTGTTCCCGCCATTGATGTTCATAGCGCAGGAACCACAAATGCCTGAGAAGGAGAGAAGAGACAATGGAGCATCTGACTTGTATCCTTTCACCCTCCTGGGGAAGGGGGGGGAGGCGTTATTGCCCCAAACGTTTTTAAACTAGTTTCTTAAGTTGTTTGTTTAAAAAAAAATAAAAAAAAAAAAAGAAATGTTTGTGGTTCAAGCTAAGCCCTCTTTCATTCCTTTGGACAACCTAGCTCATCTGCTCCTCCTTGATACTGCAATGATATTGCATTTGCAACACCATGGTATTGGCCATAGCAACAGACCAATGTCCCTAGCACAGAACTATAACTTGACTGCAAGATCTATCTGGACAGCTGGGGTGTGAAGAGAAAAACCTGTATTTTGCTACAGTTGGTGTGTGTAAAGAGGAAACACACACAGAAGGTTACTGGCAATGTAAAATGTTTTCTTTTTCCCTTCAAAACTCTTCCAGTGGGCAAATCTCTTTAAAGGTCCTCCAGTCTTCTATCCTAGCTGTCAACAGTATAAAGCCCCCAAAGGGCTTACTTACCTGGGAAAACAACAGTGTGTTAAAACACCACCAAAGACTCGTGGTACCTTATACAATATTAACTGTGGCTTAACACCAGGGCGATGTCCACAATGCCAAAAACGTGTGTTTTCACACTGAGCTAGCTAACGTGCATTAGCTATTTCCCTGTAAAATCCTAGTGGAAACAAGGCACTGTCGTTTTTACCATGATGTAGTCAGATGAGGGAGTATAGAGTTGACCTCACCAAA